TGGGAACTGAAAGTCTGAGATATTTCATAGACTACAACTATCTGACCTTCCATGCCTTTCTCTTTTATTCAGTAAACAAGAGTAAAAAAAACCCAATAGGTCAGCTTAGAATGAGTTCTAAATTCCTAGACTTTTCTTAACAGGAAGGAGAAGGACAAATCGAAATATGTCATTAAACTCCTCAGAATAACAATGGTCTTCCACCTTTCTACCACACTGTTTTCTCATCCAATGTTGGTGCAGCAACATCATTAAGTAACATGCAGCACAGGATTCCATTCATCCATCTTAGCACCGTCTTTTGAACTAGCAGCAAGAGTGGCATTTGCCACCTGTCCATCTATTCACTACTACCCTTGTTCTGAACACATCTAGAAGACACCAGGATGGTTAAAAACAACAACAACATGGGCATCAAATTCAAGAATGGCCATATGAAATGTCACAACAGATAGTCTTAAAGAAGAGGAAAAATAAGCCCCGTTGCTCTTCTGGGTATGAACATTCCAGCACAGCAGTTGCATCGCCAGGGATTTTTACATTGCCAGGAAAGCATTTTAAATAGGGCAGCAAAAAATTAAAATAAAGATGCACAAAGTGATGTTGGGAATGTCACAAACATTGCTCAGTATATTTAAACAATGTATACCTCCACAGGGAAAGACTACAATGCTGGAAGTGCTACATTTTCCCATAGAATTGTAGTATGTACTCAGAATATAATTGTGTAGCAAAAGTACAATTTGAGAAAACCACAATTACGGTGCAAAATATTGTTTGTGGAAAAGAACTCTTTCTTGTTCCCATTGATTGGTTGATTGATTAGGTGCCATGAAGACCGTGTCAACTCTTAGCAACCATATAGATTTTCTCCATGACAGTCTATCTTTAACCGGTCATTCAGGTTTTCCAACAGTGCACTTAATTACCACTGTAACTGAGTCCATCAATCCTGCTGCTATTCATCTACTTTCCCAGCATTAGAAAGCTCAGTCTTGATTTTGAAGAAGGCTTATCATGTGATTGCTAAAAGTTGACATGGAGTTAATGATGCAAAATCTTTCGTTTGTCATCATTATGACCTACATCTCAACATTCGAATAACAACATTTATCACGTGCATTCCAGTTGCAAATCTGGGAAGTGTGTGTGTGCGGTCTGTCTGTTTGTTTGTGTGTCTCTGTGTTCATATACAAATTTGGAGGGGACGAATTTCTGACCCATTCCTGATCATAACAATGCTGCATGTGCTAATCACTATTCCATGTAAAAGGAAGCTTCTTCCTTTGGAAGCTGTGAAGCAAAACTGCAAGCGTGGTTATTCTTATCCTTGCAACAATCAGAGGCCCAGCCCAGCATTTGCAGAGCTTCAGTCTTTTATCTCCCAAGTGCTTCACCAGCAAAAAATTTTTTCCTTCTCAGGAAAACCCTGATGCTGTTGGCTCTCACTCCATGACCTTTCAGAGTGCCACGAGGCAGCAATTCCCAACTTTGATTGTGTTTACCCTATACAAATACCATGGTATGATACTCAGTAGTCCATTGAATAAACAATAACTGGTGGGGTTCATACCATATGTAACAACACAAACCATATTATTGTTTACTGTGTGCTTTTGGCTATTTTTGTTTTCCTTTGAGAAAGCTAAATTGTTTACGAAGGCTGCCTGGAACTAATTTTATCAAGACTTGGTTCAAGGAGAGGCTCAGCTTGGTCAGGCCTGGTTAGTGCCTGAATCAGAGACCACCAGGGAATTCCAAAGTTGGCTAGCTGGAAAGTTTTAACAGAATCTCAAAAGAAAACCAGGACCAATCAGTCCTGTATTATTATTGCCTAAGGAACTGCAGATATGTGCTGGGAATCAAGCTTGCCTTGGGGGCATCTTAATCACTTCTTTAGTCATGGAACAAAGGAATTAAGAATAAAGTAGGAGCTATGGCTGTATTCTGCCCTATGTAAGGCAGTAAAGAAATATCAGTCCGGTCAACAAATTGAACCAGTTTCCATAGAGATGGACAGGTTTATAATGTTTAATAGCGACACAAAACAAGCATTTTATTTATATCAGGCAAGTCTGTTGTCACCATATCCTGAGACTTCATTAGACAAAGGTTACCTGGGACAGCAGAATGTTATGTAGGGGAAACAAGGGGAGCAAGTGATATAAGGTATACCACAACTTTGTGGAGATGACTACTACACCATGCATTGTTCACAGGGGTTTTCACTGATGCAAATTATATAATTTGTGTCATTTGACAAGATTATGATAGGATGATGATCTCCACCAGACATCTGTGATCCCCTTCCAAGGCATCTGCACAACCAATTGAAAACTGAGAATTATTGTATGATAAGTAGCAGACAAGTGACTCTTTGGAAAAACAGCCACTATTGAGATAATATTGCTAAAGTGAGGGATGCCTTCTTTGGAAATGCCATGGCAGCTAGAAAGGCTTAAGGCTAAATTAGATCTAGAATTGAAAAGAAAATATAAGCCTTTCCTCCCCTGTGACTCTATGATTCTTGGGAAAGCAATTGACATGGGAGATTTTCATGTAAAGACCACAGTATAGGTTCAGGGTCCCTAACATCTCCAGGTGCATCTGGAGAGCAACCACTGCCAATCAATTTGAACAAAATTATAAAGATTACTTACACCATCATGTTTGTTTTGGCCCATAAATAACATAAAATTATTCCTTGGTATTTTTTTAACTGAAAAGAAAGCATGATTTGGCTGAATTTTTTTGTGAGGAGGAATTTCAGCAACCCCATGTATTGTACCAATACATAATGTCAAACTGAGGGCACTGAAGAGAAATATATCTGTAGTTGAGGGGTCCTTGGTGCTCTCTGAGCTTGGTTGTTTTCTTGAAGACATTTCACTACCCAAATTAGGCAACATCATTAGTGATATTAATCATTATTGATATCTGTAGTTTTTGATCCCCATAAATTTTTGAGTGATACCATTATCTCTGTTTCTATTTTCTTTTCCAAGAAAATATAAATAAAGGGCAAACACCTTTTCATGTGATAGCTCATGTGAAAATTGATCAGATAAATGCACTAAAAAATTATCATCGGACTCTGATGATGTTACTTACTAGCAGAGGATAACGTCTCACACAACCTGCTGAGAAATTTAGGAAGGCCTCCTCTCTAGGAGATCCTGCTCTGATCCAGAGAACCATCTAGAGTCCCTCTAGAACTGCACCTCCCCTTCCATTTAAGAATTTGTTGTGGCAAAATGTAAGGATTGGTTGGAGGGTGGGAGGATTTGCTGAACAAAGATAACACTTTAAAGAGCTTAAGTGGCAGGATGGAGAGAAACGTAATAAGCCTGTGCAATTCTTCTTGCCAGCCTTTAAGGATTAAACTCACATATTACACATCTTTGGAATTATTTTGTTTCTCTTAGAGAAGGATGTTGCAAGGAAGAAATCAGGGGAAATATATTTCTTTGAGGAAGGGGGGAATTCCACCCTTTATCCCAGCCTACGCAGCCAGATGATACAATTGGAAACACTGAAATGCAAGAGAGATTCATCCCAAATCAAAGTCCATTGGATTAATGGTCATATTCCATTCCTATGCAAAGGACAAAGCAAACAAAAACCCAAAGCCCCCATCCCGATATCACTGTCTATCACGTCTATGTTCATCTCAGAATCTTTGGGTAAGATCATTTTTTTCCACCCAGATCAGGATGACAAAACTGGGTCCTTGAGCCAGTCTGTTGAAAAGTTCCCAATGGCAACCTTTCCTGAAGATGTTCCTGCTGCTGTCCTTATTCCAGCAGCAGGCTGAGGAGGAAGAGGAGGAGGAGGAAGAGGAGGAGGAGGAGGAGGAGGAGGAGGAGGAGGAGGAGGAGGAGGAGGAGGAGATGGAGATGATGATGACTGTCTAGTGGAGTGTAAGAGATGCTGTCAGAACCTGACTATGTGGGAGAGATCAGTAAGAGAATGTTGATAACTGCACCCACTTACACATGCGTTCACTGATGTGGCCTGCAGAATTCCCATACAGCACCTGCTGGGGATAACTGCTGTTCAGTTCTATAGGATTGCATGGGGATATTGGAGTATAATTTTGCCACAAACTGATATCTTTAAGTATTAGAACATACCTTAATTGACCTTTATTTAAGAAAACCAGGAGTACTTTTTGTCAATAATGGTAGTGTCAAGTTTGAACCGCTTCTGGTCCCTTTGAACATTTATCGCTATTCAACTTGCCAACAAACTGGGGGGAGGGAAGGGGGAGAAAGAATGCAGAGCCCACCAAGGTCACTGCTGCAGGTGTCCGACAAAGAAATGAACTGTTCCCAAAACAAAATACTGATACTTAATTGAACAGCATAACCTCTATGGGTGGGAGAAAGGGGAAACTAATTTTTAATTGTGTAGCATTGAGAGGGAAAACCTCAGAGCTGGTTTGCTGTCAACCTTCCGGCTAACAAATCCAAAAAAAAGTAGGCACTCTCAGGCATTTGGAAATCTCAAAAGTAATTCTTCAGTGCTGAAGTGGTGTAACCAATAAAGTTTTACAGTTGGCGGGTAGTCCCTGGTTTGCATTAAGAGGAAGGGGGCGGTTAACAAATTCTTACATTATATAACTTTATATTCCATACTGCACAACTCCTCCATGTCAGTCTAAGTTTCCCCCCTCCCGCATTAATCTTGGACATCTTGGCTTTTTATAATTGGCTTTTGCAGGACATGTGATAAGATAAAATAACCTCAGAGCTATTGTAACAAAACTGGGTTACCCTTGAAGTGGGAGGGAGAAGGAGAGAAAAAGCGCAGTGCAAGACAAATGCTTTGACTTGATGCTACCTTCTTAACCGTCTTGGACAAATAATCTGTCAGCCTACGGCTTCTAAGCACGGCACATCCAAGAAGCACCTTCTTTATCACTCTGGAGATAGAAATAGCTGAGACCAACAATCTGAAGACCTGGAAAAAAAACGGAGGAATCGGAGGGGCCAAACTAAGTAGAAGAAGAAAGTGATATGGGTAGTGGAGCAAGTGCTGAAGACAAGGAACTTGCTAAGAGGTCAAAGGAGTTGGAAAAGAAGCTTCAAGAAGATGGAGATAAAGAGGCAAAGACAGTTAAGCTTCTCCTGTTAGGTAAGTGTAATGCAACAGGCCATTTATCTTCATGAGGGGTACCTTTAACGCTTCGTTTTTTTATGGATCCTAGCATCCTTATCTTGGGAAGGCTAGTGTAGAACTACTCTTCCTGCAAATATTCTAAATGCTGTCCATAAAGCTTTCAACAGTAAGGCACCAGTTGCTCGGTATCAGCAACAGCAGATCAGATGGGAAAATATTTAATCGTGGTTTGATGACCACAGTAGAACTAAGGTTTGGGGTGATTCCGATATAAACAAGAAATTTTAAAAATTAGAAACTTTGGTTTTGTTTCCTGAGGCAAATTTATGTAAATGGCAGAAGCTAGAACAGTTGGACAAATAATTGCAGTCCCTTGATTATAATGAGAGGTCACAGAGATCCTTTCTCACAGGTCAGTGGCACCATAGCTGTTAGAAAATATTAAGTATTTCCAAGAAGGATAATGGAGTGCTAAGAAGCGAGGAAAGATATAGATTATGTTTCAAAATCAGTAAAATTCTCCCCTGTGCTGAAATATTTTCCATAATGATACATTTTAGTCAACTTCCCAAAAACCTTTGGGAAGGAAGGAAGGAAGGAAGGAAGGAAGGAAGGAAGGAAGGAAGGAAGGAAGGAAGGAAGGAAGGAAGGAATTCATCTGAAGTACTTTCCTATACAAGTGGCTCTTCTCAAATGTGCAGTGAGCTTGCTATGTAACCACTGTTAAATTTAATGTTTGTGCTGTGAAGGAGGTACTGGCAAACCACTTCCAATTTTTTCCCCTAGAAAACTGCAGGACCTTGACCAGGCAGTCATTAGGAGTCAAAAATTTACTATTTTTTTTTTACTAAAATTTACTAAAACACACACAAATACCACACCCCCAAATTTTACCAGCAATCTACAAGCACAGGGCATTGAAAATGCACTCACATTAAATATAATAATAATAAATTATTTATTATAAATTATAAATGATTTATTAAATTTATAGGCTGCCCAACTGCTAGCAACTCTGGTTTGATTTACTACTGTTGAAAATATTTAAGGATAATTTTTTTTAGAAAATGCACAAAAAGCAGCACAAGACAGAAAAACAACAGTGGCAAAGAAAACAAGCCCAGAAGAGAATGGAAAGCAAGAAAGCAGCATCAGATCCTCACCAAATGCCTGAGGAAAGCGCCAGGTCCATAGCACTCTTCAAAATACCAGCAAGGTGGGATCCATTTGAATTTTGAGGAATCTTATTCTGGAAGACAGGCGCTGCTACAGAGGAGGCATGCTTCTGAGTTCAGACAAATGGCTTTATTTAATTGATGGAATTCAGAGTGCACATATCCTTTAAATCAAACTGGCCAGATAGATACTATGGGAGGCAAAGAGACCCCCAGGTAACCTAGGCCATCTAGGAAGTAAATTGGCAACTGGTGCAGTGAAGCAGAGGAGTTCCATAGGCATACCAAGGCATGTCTATCACTGCCTATATTGCTGAATTCTGGATCAGCTGAAGCTTACAGATGGCCTAAGATCATGTTGCAATGATCAAGCTATGAGGTGACCCAAGCATAAGTGACTGTCTGAAGGGGCCCCCTCATCTTGGAAAGGAAACAACTGGCACACCAGATGACTAGTTGGTCAAAAGCCTTTCTGGCCATTGCTGTTCACCTGCTCACTGAGCAGGAGTTGCAAGTCCAGGGAGACTCCCAAGGTGTGTCACCCCTCCGAGGTCAAAGTTGGAATATCTCCCGATCTGGGTGGTCCAAACATGCACATTTACTTGGCCTGGGAAGGACTGAGTTGGAGATGGTTTCTTCCAATCCAGACAAGCACAGCAACCAGTGCAGGACTGACTCCGATTTCTTCCTTTGTAGTTTGGTCTCCACTCTTTCATATGGCCAGTTAGATCTGGAACTGTTCTGTCTGTCCAATAGGCTCTTTCACTCCTAAACTCAGATCACCTCTTCCCCTAAGAAGTATAGGTAGTCCTCAGCTTATGACCAGTTAAAAGCTATGACAGACCTGGAGACTATTCAGGACCTGGATTTGAAATGCCAATGGTTGAGCTCTGATCCATCAACACGTGACTGAACCACGACAGCTTCACTGAGCTGGCCTGTGGTTGAAAGACCTAACTGGATGTCACCAGTATGCTAATGATACTGATCCCTAATTCAGTGGATGACCTCACCCAGAAGTTTCATATAAATGTTGAAAAGGGGGTGGGGGGAGAGAAGCATGCATTGCAGCACCTCACAAATGAAGGACTAAGGGAACAATTTCTCCCTGCTTACCAACAGCAAGTGCAACCATCCCAGGAGAAAGGAAGAGAGCCACTGTAAAACAGTACCCCTAACTATAGAACCAGCTTAAAAGGATTCTGTGTTTAATGGTACTGAAAACCATTGAGAGATCCAAGGAGCACAAAGATGGATGCACCATGACCCTCCCAGTTCTGCCACTGTTCCCCAACAAGTGCAACCAAAGCTGTCTCAGGACTAAATCCCAGTCTGGAACCTAACTGAAATGTTATCTGTTTCCTCATCAGCTGCTGGCTGACTATCGTCTCAACAATCTTCACCACATTTTAAGATTTGGCTGCCCAGGTAGCCAGCTTTTAATTGTGCCTTCCTGGCTGTGCTCATCTCATTTGTCCTGTGGGCCCTATCCAGCAACTTTGCATAATATAACATCACTGGAAGCGCTACAGCCATAACAGCAGGCCTAACCTCAGTATCATCCATCTCTACTGGTGCACAATGAAAGACCTGTAACAAATGTTCACTCAAGTTGACTGGAACATATGTCAGCAGTGAGATGAGAATAACAACTGCAACTACAACTCTGACTAGCTATTCTGGGCAGTTTACAACATGTTGGATTTTACTTCCTGTATTATCAGTGCCCTAATCTATCCACTGAAGAATGGATATGGTAGCCAGCAGTAACCAGAAGAAGAAGCACCAAAATCCATCATCCTATATCATCCTGAATTGCTTTAATACATAATGTCTTTGGACCATCCTTTCCACCTGATGGATGCTTCAACCAAGCTGCAAGGATTTTGTTGGTCAGCAACCCAGGATTATAAATCTGCTGAGAGTGGAAAGGACATTTAAGGTGCTTAAAGCTGAAGAATGCTTGGTGCTCTTCCCTCTGCTGACCTGTGCCTTGCAATAGCTGAAGACAGTTTCAAGTTCTCCTATACCACACTACCCTCTGGCCCCAATTGTGCCTGCTTCAGTGGTGGAGGTGTGTGAGAAGCACCACTATCATTGTGTGCTATAGACTCAAATTCCAGTAGGGATAGCTCCTTTATATAACTCCTGAACCTTGGGAAAATCAGGGCACACACATCTACATACGAGAGAGAGAGAGAGAGAGAGAGAGAGAGAGAGAGAGAGAGAGAGAG